ATCTTTGGAAAGGTTAGAACATGGGTGATTGGCCACCTGATGGCTCTAGTTCCTACAAACCACATCTGGTCTTCTTTGTAGACCAGCTCTGTCGGGGATATAACACTATAGATGCTCAATCCAGTGACTGTGTACTGCTGGTGGACTGCGTACAGAAGACAGTGTCAGTTCCAGATGTGGTTTGTAGGAACTAGAGCCATCAGGTGGCCAATCACCCATGTTCTAACCTTTCCAATGGTTTCATTGTAAGGCAGCCAAAGTATTGTCCTGCAAACACTATGAGAATGCATCAGTAAGGACAATATAATATTATGATGGTGGCAAATGGGGAAAAAGGAGGAGAATTTATCTATGAGCAAGAAAGTGGAGGATTCTAAGAGACTTACAATAAAATATGAAGTTTGAGAAGTCAGTGGTAATTTGAACACGTAAGAGGTCTATGACAAAATGGACGCATGGAAGGCAGATGGCAAATAGACTAGTAGGAGGTCCATGACAAGGCAAGTGAAGGATCTATGACAAAATTGACATTTGGGTGGTTTATAATAAAGTGGACAAGTAGGAGATCTTTGGCAAGGTACACAAGTGCAAGGGTTTATGACAAAATGGTCATTTGGGAGCTCTACATCAAGGTGGACAACTGAGAGGTCTTAGACAAGACAGACAAGTGTAGAATGCCTGACAAAATGGAAACATGGGAAGTAAATGAGTCAAAAGACTAAAAGTTCTTTCAAAAGACAGACTAGTGTAGTGTTTATGACAAATGAACACACGATAGGCTGATGACAAAATGGACAAGGGAGAGGTCTGTTCCAAGACAGAGAAGATGTCCGGTCTACGATGGATGTGAGTTCTATGACAAAGTGGACACATAGGAGGTCTACAACAAAAAAAGGTATTTGACTTACCATTATGGAGTACACAAAGCCAATGATGTTCACTGGCCACATGGGGCAGAAGCACGACAAGATGGCAATAAACAGATAATCCTTTGGCTTTTCCGCTTCTACGGCACTAGCTGTTGCTGTAGACCCTTGTCGACACAGACTTGGCCTGGGAGAATTAGACGCAGCTTGGGCTAGCCGTCCCTCTGAGCCAGTCAGGCTGGGGGCCCGAGGTCCTCCATTGGTAGCAGGCTGGGCCTTGAGGTCATTCAGAGAGGAGGCTTTGCACTGGATGGTCACCGTTGGCTCTGCTTCAGGAGCAGTAGTCTCAGGCACAGGCTCCGGCTCCGGCTCTTCCACCACCACCACGGTGGTGGAGCAGACAGGCTCTGTGGCCTCTGAAGTAGTCTGCCCCTCGGGTGGGGGTCCTGTGTCTGCGGGTGGTGTGGCCATGGGTATGGGCGCCAGCGGAAAGGTTTGGAGAAAAAAGTGGAGAAGGCTGCTGGGTGGTCAGCCCAGACGAGAAATACCAAGAAGGAAAGCAAGAGATGGGTCTGCCATAGGAGAAGAAATAAGGGGATTATAAATGGGACATCTAAGATCAGGCAACAGTTATTAATAAGAACATTGCTGAAATATTCACTTCATTATTTCCAGCTGGCACAAGACGTAATTTCCAGACTCAGACTCAGCTAATCTACATCCCAGAGTTACCAGTACCCCCCATACAACACCCCTGTAAGGCTCCATCTGTCATCACATACTGCACAGATTCATCCTGCAGTGAGTTTATAGATGCTATACAGTCATATAAAATGTCCTTTCCTCACCGTAATACTAATTATTACAAACACAAAACCTCCTCCCCATTGCTAATCCTATTACTCCTTATAACTCCCTCCCATATTGCCTCCATCAGTTTTCCTCAAACAACCCCCACCTCATTACTTCATATAACCCCTCCCCATAGATGCTTGTGTAACTCCTTATAATTCTTACCCATCACTGCCCCTATAACTCCAAATACCTCCTCCCAATAGCTCCTCCTATAACTCTATATAACATCTTCCTATAACTCCTCCCCATCATTCCCCCTATAGCTCAATATAACTTCTCACCATAGCTCCTCCTATAACTCAATATAACCTCTTGTGATAGCTCCTCCTATAACTCCTCCCCATCATTCCCCCTATAACTCTATATAACATCTTTCTATAGCTCCTCCTATAACTCTATATAATCCCTAGTGGTAGCTCCTAAATAGCTCCTCCTATCACTCCATATAACTCCTCCCCTGTGTATTTCCTATTGTTGAGTGCAATTCCATAAATCTGATCCTGTTATTTTATAAAATTCCTTCCCATAATGTATCCTATTTTTTCATATCTTTATTCCCTAAATATAATGTTGTATAACCCCTCCATATAACCTCTTCCACACCTTCATATAATTACTGTTATTCCATAAAACTCCTCCTTGTATTTCATATAACCCCTCCTATTATTCCATATAACCCCTCCTCTTATTCCATATAACCCCCTCCTATTATTCCAAATAACCCCTCCTATTATTCCAAATAACCCCTCCTATTATTCCAAATAACCCCCTCCTATTATTCCTTAAAACCCCTTCTATTATTCCATATAGCTCCTCCTAATATTCCTTATAACCCCTCCTATTATTTCAAATAACCCCCTCCTATTATTCCTTAAAACCCCTCCTATTATTCCTTATAACCCCTCCTATTATTTAAAATAACCCCTCCTATTATTCCTTATAACCCCTCCTATTATTTAAAATAACCCCTCCTATTATTTCGTATAACCCCTCCTATTATTTCAAATAACCCCCTCCTATTATTCCTTAAAACCCCTCCTATTATTCCATATAACCCCCTCCTATTATTCCATATAACCCCCTCCTAATATTCCATATAGCTCCTCCTAATATTCCTTATAACCCCTCCTATTATTCCATATAACCCCCTCCTATTATTCCATATAGCTCCTCCTAATATTCCGTATAACCCCTCCTATTATTCCATATAACCCCCTCCTATTATTCCATATAGCTCCTCCTAATATTCCTTATAGCCCCTCCTATTATTCCATATAACCCCCTCCTATTATTCCATATAGCTCCTCCTAATATTCCATATAACTCTTTTACAGTTTTATATTTCTTCTACCACAACTATTATTCCATATTATTCCTATAACTTCTATTATTCCGTACAACCTCTCCTAATATTCCATTCAAACCTTCTTTGTATTTAACATTTCTATTTTAGTGCATTAAACCCCTACAAATATTCCTTATTGCTCCTCCATACAAATCCTCACCATAACCCCTCCTGTAATTTCTTAGAACTCAATCATATACAAGAACTTCATATGACTCCTCCATAGAACGTCTCTCTACCAACTTCATATCTTTAATATTTATTTCATATAAATACTCTTTGTATTCCAAATGCTATTATTTTATATTGCTATTAAACCCTATTATTCTATATAACCCCTCCTATTATCTATACAAAACCCTCCTATTATTGCATATAACTCCTATTATCTATAAAACCCCTCCTATTATTCCATATAACCCCTCCTATTATCTATAAACCCCTCCTATTATTCCATATAACGCCTCCTATTATTCCATATAACCCCTCCTATTATCTATAAAACTCCTCCTGTTATTCCATATTATCTCCTATTATTTTGCAAAACTCCTCCTTGTATTCCAAATAACTCCTCCATTAGCACATACAACCCCTCCCATTATTCCAAATAACCCCTCCCTATACTTTATTCTACAACTTCATGTTACTAGTATTATTCTATATAAATTCTCCCTGTAACCCAAATCATTTCTTCTATTATTCATTATAAATTATTATAACTTATAATTTTTTAATTATAAATTAATTATCAATTACAACTCCGCCCCTTATTACATATAGCCCCTCCTTATTTGACATAACTCCACCCCATAGCCCCTTCTATTATTCCATATAACGCCTATTCCTCTTACTATTCCATTTATCTCCGCCACATATCCTATTATTCAGTGTAATTCCTTCTACTCCATATCTAACCCCTCCTAATATTCTATACAACTCCGCCCATTATTCTGCATGACCCCTCCCATTATTACATATAGCTCCTCCTTATTTTCTATAACTCCACCCCATAGCACCTATCATCTATCATCCTATGAAACACCTATTAGTCTTACTATTCCATTTAACTCCTCCACATATCCTATCCTATTATTTCATACAACCCCACCCATTATTCTGCATGACTCCTATAGTCCATATAACTCCTCCTCTCCTTACATATAGCCACCCACACTGTTCCACATAACTCCTCCCTATAACTGCTTTTACATTGTATCACCTCGCCTAATATTCCATAAAACCCCCTCTTCACATTAATATAACTCCTTTCCAATCGCCCGCCATATCGCCTCCTTTTAATTCCATGCAACCCCAACAATTGTGACAATAACTTCTACTTCAGATTGCTTCTTCCCTTTCCTATGAATTCATTTAGTATTTGATTCAACTCTTCCCTACGACTCCACCTGTTATCGCAAATCCCTTCTATGATTCCGTATGACTCCAGTCATTGCTTATAATTTTCAGTGGTTGGGTTGAGGTGGGATATCTATCTATCTATCTATCTATCTATCTATCTATCTATCTATCTATCTATCTATCTATCTATCTATCTATCTATCTATCTATTCTTTGATCTATCCATAGATGTATCCATCTAGGTGTGTATCTATCTATCTATGCATCTCTGTCTTGCAATAGACACAACAGTGCATCACACACACAATAGAAATGTCTGTTCCCCAGCAGCCGCACAGTCTACACACTATACACATACACAGTGTGAACGCGCAGAACAGCAGAACACACACACATGCACACATATACCATATACTGTAGGCTGCACTCTGCAGCGCTCCTATCAGATGTGAATGTAGATGAGGTGGAGGGAGGGTGTGGAGAGACAGTAAAAATGAAGATGCGGTGCAGAGGGGCCCCAGCTCTCCACCTGGACAACCCGGGATGAATGAGATGTTAACCGCTCGTGTGCTGGCTGTCCCATTACATGCACCATATGTGCCCAGAACACTCTGTCTCGGCGCATATGCTGCGCTTGGCTCCCTCTCACCTTAGCGTGTGCCGTGTGTTTGGAACCGTGTCTGCGCAGCGTGTTCCGAATCTTGTGTAGTAAGCAAATATTTCCCCCCACCCCCCACCAGAGCCACCCTGCGCCTCTTCCCCTTCTGTCGTTGGTAACACCTGAACCCACGGATAATGCATTAATCCCGTGTTACAGCAC